GACTATTAGGGGAGTATAGGAAATTATATAATCTCTTTTGTGGATCACAAAATCATTAGGATCTCTGGTATAGAAGAAATGGTGCAAGAGATGAAAAATGAAACGTACCAGTAAGAATAAAATATTAATAATGTAACATAAGAAATTCATATGATTAATATGGGTAGTTAATTCAGGCCACAGTCTTTCATTAACAATAACAACAATGACAAAAAATATTTTGTGGAAAATGTAGCTGGTCTGATGACATCAAATATTCAAAAGAAAAACTATTTACTCTTTTGTTTTTATTGTCCTTTGCCTCTTCTCACAAATATACTACCATTTCTCAACTGCTATTTGTGGACATATTAATTTACTTAACCCTTTTTAAACTTACACTTTTAATATATTAAGAACTGATAAATTCCACAAATTACTTATAATACATAAAATTCTAAACTTACTTTGATTTGTTCTAAAGTAATCACTTGTTTCAAGCTTTTCAAAATAACCCTAGTTTGGGTAATTTAGAAACAAAAAGTAACAAACTGAAACCCATGAAGAACATTTACAATCAAAGTAGACAGATAACAAGATAATCCTCATATCACCAAAACACAAATAGGTGGGGAGAAAGCACCAACAATAGAAGAAATATGCAACATTGAAGCAGAATAGGATAAAGTAGAGGGAACCAGTAAGGTATTGGATGGACTTGAGAACAAAATAACCCTGAACATAATTTTTCTTTTATTTTACCAAAAAGATAGTTAGGAAAACAAAAGGATGCTTAAAACACTTAACAATAGTCTTAGATATTGCTACTGACTAGTCAAACAGACAAACACATTCTGTTGCTAAGTAAGACATTCTTTTTCATTAATTTCAACATCTTAGAATAACCTCATAAAACTGTAAGAATTATCTGTGTTCTTATAGACTGGGCTTGCTAGTTACTCCTATACTAATTATAGGCACATAAAACTTCTCTAGGAAGTACAATTGTCTTGATAAAAATAAGAGATTAAATTACTGTTTTCAAAGTATTAAAGACTAAAACTTACCTCTCTTAATTCTGCAATTCTCCGAAGTGCTTTGTCCTGACTCTGACTTAATATACCCTTTAATTTAAAAAAAAAAAAAGGTTAGTTAAAAATCTGTATGGCATAGTATGCAAAGCAAGTAAAAGTTATTTTAAAAATATCACAACTGCTTATCCAAATAACCTGAAGATGGAGGATAGGACTGAAAATTAAGAAAGGGACCATGTTGAAAATTTGTTAAAAGTTAAATTACAAAGTTATAGAACTGCTCCACATTCTGGCTGTGGGTATGGTTAAACAATGTCATACGTCTGTTAAAATACATAGACATTTAAAGCAAATATAGATTTAAATGTATGTTAATTTAAGAATTAAAAAACTTAAAACTAAATTCCAAATGTAATTTATTTCACTGTTTTAATATGTGAAAAACATCAGTTACTAGCCTCTTTAATAGAATTTTGACTTAAACACAAAATAATTCTAGTCTATGTTAATAAAAAAGAAAAACGGGCAAGAAACTCACAAGGTTAACTACATAAATTGGTAACTGTACTTTAAAAAATTAATGAAAGTATAATTAATATACTGCAAGATGAAATGACTCATACTTGGGTGAGGATAGAGAGAGTGATCCTTCACTACCACAGGACATTAAATGGAAAGGTACTGTTCTCGGAAAAAAAAAATCATTTATTCTCCTACATCCCAAATACACAGAGGTAAAGAAATGGGGTGAGTGGAATTCCATGCCCATCTCCTTAGAACTTGGGAGGCAGAAGCAGGAATATTTTTAATTCGGAGCCATTCTGGGTTATACAGGGAGACTCTGGCACAAATAAAAGAAAAGAACACAAAACAAAACAAAACCAAAAACAAATGGGGTAATTTGGAGTTTCACTGGTTTGTGTGCACTCAAAAAAAGTGGGGATATAGACGGGGAGTGTTGGCTGTGTTGTTTTTATGGGGCTATGTAGTTGAATAAAATAAAAGCCAAAAACTTTTTAACCCCTACAGCTGTGAGTACAAATTTTGAAAGTTTGGTTTCAATTATAAATTTTTAAATGTAGGAAGATAAAATATTGAGAACAATGAGATAGTGTAGTGCAGTAGTTGTTAGCATATGCTCTGTAGTCTAACCGCTAGGAAGTGGATCCTGGCTCCATTCCTCCTTTTTCTATGTTATAATTAATGAACAACAGGTTGCTTTTCCTCAATCTCTTCACAGGACAGGGGCAAAGAATAAATACACCACAATGCCTGGCACACAATAAGAGCTCAATAAATGTTAGCTAACATGCACCGCTTTAGAAATAATGTTAACAGAACTTAAAATTTTTATTCCACTGGATCTATTAAAAGGATATTTAATGAAGAGATATCTAATTTTGCACACATGGAATGTACACATGTCTAGACAGGAGTATAAAGCATTGAATTGTATCTCCAACACATTTTATATTTGGGTCTATGAAACCACTAATCTCTATTGCCATTACTGTTGGAATTATATACATTAAGAAATACACATCTATAGTTCACATAAACACAAGCCAGATAGCCACAGAACTTAGGAACAAGATGACCTTTTGAAAATAAACTTATAAAATATTAACAAAATAATGAATTACATGAGAATTATCCCCCCACTTCAAGATATTTCAGAAAAGTTACTCAATTAAAAACTATTTGTAGAAATTTAATTTTCACATTTATTTGGACAATTAGAGTACGGAATCAATAAGAAATAATCTCTTTATCATTCTGAACTGATTATATTCTAGACCAAAGTCTGGAAATTTAATGTTTAATGTTATGCTTAATGTTGAACTAGAATTAGTATTTTATGAAAAATTATTTAAAAGCAATGTACATAGGGAAATTAACTTTACCAAAATTTACTTTATAAATAACCTTTTGGTTATGTAATTAGCTTCTTTGAATGGTACAAAATGTTAAACATCTACTTTAAAAAATTAAGACTAAATTTAACATACACATAAATGCACACACCACCCCAGCAGCAGCAAATTAATGGCTAGAGTGGATGAACTGGAGTGGATACTTCCCCATAGCTCTGACACATGAATTGTCACTTGAGATACCTGATGGGAAATTTACTGCTCCTAACAGGATGGTATAGTGGGGTCAAAAATGGTTACCCAGTGAGGTGCTGGTGGCTCATGCATATAAACCTAGCTAGCTACATGGGAGGCTCAGATCAGGAGAAGAGCGGTTTGAGGCCAGCCTGGGCAAAAAGTTCACAAGACCCCATCTCAACCAATAGCTGGGCATAGTAGCAGTGCCTGTCATCCCAAGATACGTGGGAAGCTGAGACAAGAAGGATCGAGGTTCCAGGCCAGTATGGCCAAAAATGTCTGCGAGATGCCATCTCAGAAGAAAACATACTGAGCGGGTGGTATGCCACCTTGGCATCCCAGCAACAGGGGAAAGCATAAAAAATTTGAGGATTGCAGTCCAGTCTGACCTGGGTGAAAACCAAGACCCTACCTCCAAAATAACCAGAGCAGAAAGGGCTCAAGGCACAGCTGAAACAGAAAAGTACCTGTCTAGCAAGCATAAAGCCTCAAGTTCAACCCTAGTACTGCCAATAAATAATTAATAAATGAATTAAATATAATTATGTAAAATTTAAAAAGATGGGTCATTGAGAAGAACTTTAATAGCTTCTTATTCTCACATACTTAAGCCAAGAACTTTACAAGAAGCAGCTTCCAAAACCTGCTATTCTAGAAGAGAGGATTGACTGCATTTAGAACCCAATACAGTGATGTCTACAGACATCAGAGATGTCTATTTAGAAAACAAAAGGGAACAAAGTTTAGTGTCTCATTTTTAGTAATAAGAATCAATGTTAACAACACCTCTCAAGAATGTTTGGCAATATATTTGTGTTGTATCTGTGTTTTTTTACAGTCATTAATATATTGCTTTACAGTTTACAAAGAGCTTTTCTGTTTGTCACCTAAGAATGTAAACTTACAAGGTCAGAGAGAGATCCTGCTCTACACTAGTTAAATGTATCTGGCTGGCATCAAAAAATTTAATATGGTTTTTATACTGGAGTAGACAACAAACTTCTTGGAAAATTTTGTTTCTTGTAAAGCTATATCAAAAACAACAAATGAAGTGTCTAGCTCTTAAGAGGAAGCAGTAAGTAATGAATAAATAAGTAAATGAAAAAAAAACAGGAAAGTTGAACATCTGTTTATTACTAAGTAAGGCAGAAACGTGTAGACTGATATACAAAGGTGATTGAAAGAGGCAAACATACCTTAAGTCCAGATTTTATGAATACTACAAGGATCTGTAACCCAAGGAAGCCCCACCCTAAATATCTGGGATCTCTCATTCAGTCTCTTTATCAAAATTTCTGGTACTGGTAAAAAGGGTTAAAATACTATGATCATACAAAGAATTTAAAAAGAAGGTGTTAGGTTTAGGTTCCTCTAAAACCTTTTAATTTTAAAATTATATATGACTCAACATAACAGCCAATAAATCACTTACTTGTAGTTTTTTCTTCTCTCTCTGAAGAGTCTGATAAGATGTAACAAGCTAAAATAAAATCACAATATTAGTCATTTCTCAATAAATGGAATTATTCTAAATTCTGCTAAAATATCTCATTGTAAAAGTCAAAAATACGTTAGAGATACCTTTTGTAGACAATTCAACAGAATTCAATGCATAATGGTTAAAAGTACGTAACACAGGAATTATTTATAAACAGTACAATAGAACTTGCCATGACACTAAATCTCTATATTACTTCATTTTATTATACTTGTTCCTCTTTAGATTTCAGTACTTAATTCATAGGTGAGTATTAGTCCCAACCTGGCAAAAGGTAGGAGGCTACCCAAACTGTTACGATAGACTACATTAGCAATAGCCTCACCTGGGACTTTGCTAGAAACAGAAATTCGGGGGCCCCACCCCAAACTAACTCAATGAGAGTTGAGGAAGAAAGGAGCTCTCCAACTTTTTTTTTTTTTTAAATTCCCACTTTGGCCATAATACATCATATAACTGAGGCCTGAATGTTCTTCCGGTTGTAGGATCTGTGACTTGGTTTTGCAAAAATCTAAGGAAAGAAATTCGTAAGAAACAAGTGGAAACTGGTAGTTCAAGTCTTAAACAGATATTTAACCTAACTAGGATACTTAAGCATTCTAGCACAACTTGATGAAATTAGAGATTAACAGTCATTTTTAAACCTGTAAATTATAAGCATTATATATGTGAATATGGGTTATTGGAATCCTACATTAGAAGTACTGTTGGTCTCTGAAGAGTATGGCTGCAGATTTAGGGGAAGCACCCTTGTTTATGAAGTTTGCCATTTTCCCTGGAAGGCTGCTGTATTCCCTAAATGCCTTTACTAATATCTTGAATCAAGAGGCAGGTAGCAATAGAAAGTAAGTCTAGTAACAGGCCTATGAATATGAAAAGCAAAATTCTGCTTGAGACCAGAACTCTCTCTTTCTTACTACTTCAAGACCAGAAAGGACAATGGTACTCAAAAAAAGAGGTGGGGTGGGGAGGAAGAATAATCCCAGAATCACTTTTTCATCCTAGTTACCTACAGTGGTGAGGAAAAGTAGAGACAAAGGGTATGGGCATTTAAAAGTAGAGTCAGGGTAGTAAAAAAAACACAGAAGATTTAAAATCAAATTCAGATTCTGCCAATTGCTCACTTGCTTAAACAAGTTACTTATTAATCTCTATGAATCTCCAATCCATTTTCTACAAAATAGAGCTAATTAAATCTACTTCATAGGGCAAGTACAAAATTAATTGACACTATAAATATAAAATATATATTATTTAGCAATACTTAAATACTAATTATATTATTGCCCCAGCTTCAACCTTAAAGCTGTGGGTAAATTACTGAAAGTAACAAATACAAACAAACAGATTCATGACCATTATTATTAATCTTGAAAGAAAAAACAGAGTAAAGTGAATTTAAAGGAAAAAGTTGCCTGATTCTATAGGATCCTCATGAGATACATGGGTTTAATGCCATGTTAAATCTCTGAGTTCTAATCAGCCTTTAGATTTTAGCCTGGTAATCCTTTCCATTTCAGCACTTCATAGTTTCAATAGATATTCAGTACCTTTTTATCAAGGTTTTTGTTTTTGTTTTAACTGCATTATAGCCATACTTGAAAAAAGAAGTTGGTTAACTTTATATTCTAACACTGAACTTTATTATTCATTAGTTAAAATTAACTGTGATGCCAACTTAGAAACAATGATACAATAGAATATTGCACATTAAGACAAACAAAAAAGCCACGGACAACCTATTCCACAAAGACTTTCCTAAGGAAGATTTTTTCTTCCTAAGGAAGATAGAAAGGGAAATCAAGGGAGGCAACCAATATAATTTTAGTCTGAAAGGAAGGTACCTTCCTTTCAGGACCACAAAATGGAATGGAAACAATTATACTAAACAGGGTGTGTCATCCTCAAGGGCTTAAGAGTTAAAAGATTCATTTTAGGCAAAAGTTTAAATGTGGGAACAATTAGAATAAACCAAATCTTCAAGATGATCCTACTACCTAAAACATAATTGTAGTCAGCAATAATGGGGATTTGGTTGGCAGAAGAGGTCCCTTTTTGAGCTACTCAGAGATGAATAAGGAAGGAAAGAGGATGACCTGAGTCTTGGGTGTCCACATGACCCAGGCTAGGAAAGCTAAGAGACACAATGTGCGAAGCAAAAGGCTACAGACAATAGTCTTCTCCAAAACTGTTACCATGAGTCTTGCCAAAGGACTTCTGTGTCAAGGAAACCTTCTAACTACATATTGTGACAGATGACCTACAATTAGTAATCAGAGTATCTTTGGGAATCAATGGTTTAGGTAATTGTTTTACAGTAGTAAAAAAATACATTAATATGAATCAGAGAACAAGTCAGTAAAAGAAAATAGTGTATGAGCAAACAGGTCATGCTCCTACCTCAGAATATTTTCCTCTAAATGTATTTAAGCTTCGCTCTATCCTTTGCAACCGATGAATCAACTGTTCTTTGTTGAGACTGTCTGAATTCCCTAGTAAGTCTTCAGCTTCACTTTCCATATCAGAGAAGGGATCAAAGGTGGCAGAACAGTCCAAATCAAGTTGGTTCAGGGACTCTCTGGAAGACGTTCGTACCAAAGACTCTTTAGAAGATCGCAATAGAGATTCCTTTACCGGACTTCGAAACAAAGACTCCATGGAAGGCACCCGGAGCTGGAGCTTCTGGGCAAAAGTCTGAAGGTCACCTGACTGCAACCAAAACCCAAAGGAATATGTGGGTTAAAATACACACATTTAGACTTCCATTAACCCCTATCATCCAGTAGTAATCTGTTAAAAGCTCTAACAAATTCAATTTATATCCTTGGCATTTTTAATAAAACATTGTTTTCTGAAAAGCAAAAGACATTTGGTAACTTTTGAGAAAGCTCTGGACCTGGAGTTAGATAACTAGGCCCTATGTCTATCACCTAGCAGCAGAACGACCTTCACTAAGTCACTTTCTTCAGTTTGTAATAATAAAGAAAAAGGAAGCTATGCTTTCCCAGCTAACCCCACAGATGTGTTGCAAGGATTCATATGTCAGATCCTTGAAGGCAGTAACTATCTGTATACACCATCTGCACCATCCATCGGTGAACACCTTATCTGGACAGTCTTTAGAGACAGTGGGTCCTGATCATTCTTTTCAAAAAAAAAAAATTGGAAATGGGGCCAGGAAAGAATAAATTGAAATAAGCCCATCTTGTTTTAAAAATGGAATGTGAGGTGAAATTGCCTAGTGACATACAACTTGGCCCTAATTACCATTCTGTGTATTGAGAATAAAAATAAGCATTAACAAACCATGCAGGGAGTTGACTGCCTCTGCATAGCCAGTAAATCTGATGTTAGAAATATTGACAAGTAAGAACTGTTCTCTTAATTTGAACAATCATAATGAAAAATAATATAACATAATTCAACTGTTTTAAGCGGCATTATTCTGTTCAGATCACAGCAGTCAATATTTAAGAGCTGTTTCCTAGGAACTCATTCTCATTAATTAATGCAATAGGGTCACCTGGAAATCATAACGATGCTAAGAATGAAGCTGGGCATGGTGGTTCTTGCCTGTAATTCCATAAAAAGGCTGAGGCAGGAAGACCACTAGTTCAAGGTCAATCTGGCTACACAGCAAGATTTTGTTATAAAATAAAATGCTAGAAGAGATGCTCAGTGGAAGTTGAGAACATGTAGGTAAAAACTATAGGCAAACAAAAGTATTCTCTTTTAATATATAATTTTTTAAAAATCAAAACAAATGTGTTAGTGATTTGAGAGATTTAATTATAGTATTAGGGAAGGTGGGAGTAAGTAAGAGGGGATAACATGCCACAGCCCCTTCAAATGAACATAGGTTGTTTATAATAAAAACTAAAAGCAACCTAAATGTTAATCACTAAAGGACACATTAGGTATGGTATATGGAAAGAGTTGAAAGTATATTATTCAATGAAAAAAAAATCAGGTTATAGAACATTTTGCATATATTGTGAGCTTATTTTGACCTTAATTACATATACTTTCAATTTATATGCATATGTTCGCAAGAATTCTTAGAAGTTGTGAAAGACAGACACCAAAGGTTAACAGTGTCTCTGAGCGGTAGTATTTAGGACAGATTTCTTTCACAAATGTGCAAGTTTTACATTCATAATGTGGGGAGGGCCTAATGGAAGAGAAGAAAACCTTCATGCTCAAAATCTTTAAGAATTCCTTTATTGATAATACCATTACCAGTAACTTCTGACCCATGTGAAAAAAATGCATTTTGGTTCTTATCAGACAATCTTATAAAATATCCTAAAACTAATAGGTGAAGCAAGTTTGAGAGCGTTAGAAATAGTTGGTGTTTTGGAGTCAGCAAAAAGCTAATGAGCAATGTCAAAGATCTATATTTGCAGATCCTAATAAGCTTAACTGCTACATCTCCTATTCCAGGGAGTAACTTTCTTCTTTCCTTTCTTCCTCCCTTCCTGCCTTTTCTTTTCTTTTTCTGTTTTTGGGATCAAACCCAGGGCCACATACATGTTAGGCGTATTCTACCACTGAGATACACCCTGAGCTCCAGGAATAACTTTTTTGGTGGGGGGGCAGTACTGGGGTTTAAACTCAGGACCTCACATTTGCTAGGCAGGTGCTCTACCACTTGAGTCACTCTGCCAGCCCCAATAATGTTTTGATATAGTGATTCACTCAATAGTATATAATGCCAGGCTATCAAAGTTCAAATTCCAACTCTAGCACTGTTCTATATGGCCTTGAGCAAGTTACTTAATAATTAACCTTGTTACTCCTGTTTCCTCCTCTGTAAAATAAGAATATAAGGACGGTAAAAATTATAAAAATGGTACCATCCATCTTGTGTGACTGCTATAAAGTAATACATATAAAGTGCTTACAATGTGGCAAATGCTGAATAAACAATAACAAAATGCTCAATAAATAAACATTAACAATAAAACAATAACTATCATTATGGAGAAAAGAGACGAAAAGAGACACTGCTTCAAACTGCAAACAAACTTACAAATTAAGAGTATCATCTGAGCTATGGATGTAGCTCCATGGTAGAGTAGTTGACTAGCATATGTGAAGCCCTGAGCTTTACTGTCATCCATATTGAGGTAGCAGATTCTTCTGGCTATAAGAGTCTGGGTATGAGGCCAAACTCAGCTCTACCATTTACCAGCTATGTACCTTTAATTAATTTACTTAACTTACAGTGCCTCTGTTTTTACCAATGTAAAATGAAGATGATAACAGCATTCCATTCAAAGTAGTTATGAAGAGTAATAAATTAAAACATGTTAAATATTTAAAATCATGACTAGCTTGAGGTAAATTCTCAATAACTAGTACTATCACCTGACATCCAATCTTCCCCTTTTGCCTTTCTACCACATTCTGGTTTTGTTGAGGGTAACTATACAATCAGGTAAAAATATTTACCTTCTCAGAACAAAGTAAAATCACAATGAGGTACTATCCCACATCTACCAGAATGGCTAAAATTAAAACTATGGAAAGTACACAGTGTTGATGAGGATATAGAGCAATCACATTAAAGAACTGTCAGTTTTACTAAACACAAGCACCTTCTCTGAGCCAGCAGTTTAATTCCTAATTATATAGCAATAGAAATGTATAAACATGGTCAACAAGAGATACAATTCAAAATAACCCCAAACTTAAAACTACTATTGAGTCTTTCAATAGAATGGATTAAAAATACAAAACAAAACTGTAGTTTTGTTCACCAATGGAATTCTACACAGCAATAGAATGACTTAAAACGACAAGCAACAATACAGATAAAACTCATAGAGTACTGAGCAAAAGAAGGCAGACACATAAAGCTTCACATTCCATTCACATAAAGGTCAAAAAATGGCAAAATTCACCTGTGTTGTTATAAGTCCAATAGTGGTTGCCCTTGGGAAAAAGAGGAAGGACTGAAAGGAAACAAAAGGGCTTTTGGGGTATTAGCAATTTTTGTTTCTAGGTTTTGGGTGCTGGGTGTGTTTGTGTGATGAATATTCTGCATATTAAATTGTTGTAGTTACATTTCAGTGAGTATATTTTCATTAGCTTTTTCCACATTCTTTCAGATAAGAATGGGCCATCTCTAAATTTGATAATATATAACAGAAAACCTATAAGATGGAATCTTTTGGTTTAGCTATTGTTTTCCTAATAAGATACAATGTACCTTTTGTCCTTTCTTTCACCTGTCCTACTGCCTAGAACAGAGATGTAATTCTTGGACACCAACTTGTTTTTGTGAAAGGGAAAAGCAAGGCTAGGGAAGTTAAGAGGAGTGGGGGCAAGAAGCTAAAAAAGAGTGCTTTTGAAATGAGCCTTCATCAGTAAAATGGGATTGACAACAGCATTTCCCTCGTAGGACTGTTGTAAGGCTTCGATAGGTGAAAAGTCAATTTGGCTGTCTCCATAATCTTTTACAAATATAAAGTCAAGATTTCAACATTTTTGAAGTTCTTACTTCATTAACTTAAAATGAGGAATAATAAAATCTTGCATTCATTTAAAACATTTTTCCAAGAAACTACGAACAATGTATATTTACCATATGTATTATATCAAATTTTTGAACATCAATAGAATTGAATGTGAATAATTAACAGATTGGCCAACACTTTGAAGAGGTCTCTTATTTCTTAAAATAATAGTAACACACCTGAGGAGTGGATGGTTCATTTCTATTAACACTCTCTGAAGATTTCGAAGCATGGGTAGATGCATTCTAAGAAAAAAAAAGAAACATCATAAAGAAAAGGAACAGGAAAGTAAAGTTTTAAAACTGTTAAAAACAATGTCTAAGTACCAAGACCTATCAGATACTTGTGCCTATTAAACAAAATTAGTCATTGTTCATTTATTAGAATGTTTTCATGCAAGGAAAACTAGTATGGTAAATATTTTAGAACATTCATTTTGCTATAATGTGTGAAATTAAATAGCAAACGTTAGTACATAGCAAAATTTACTTCAAGCTGATTATCTTTTCCCACTCAGTTTTTACACCATGACAGAAAAAAACAGGAATTTAATTAGCAAAACTCATTCACATAGAAAACTATTCAGAAAAAGAAGTAATATCAATTGTTCCCTGCAATAATATCATATTCAAATTAAAATTATCTGGATTAAGTTATGAAAAATATTTTGAAATACTTAAAGTCATCAATCTAAATGAAACTATTGCAACCATTTTCAGAAAAAGTTCTAGTTCAAAATCTCTTCTTTCATATTAAAAGCTTTTTGTTTTGTTCTGTTGATAAGGCAAATGCTCCAAGGTAAGAAATGTTCTGAATACATCATACCACAGATTTCATAGATGTTGTCATTCTTTTAGATCCAAAGTTCTATACTGTGTTCATAATATACTGTCTTAACTATAATTTATAACTATAGAAGTAGTTCATGATGAAATAACTTCCGTTTTAACAACAGCATTCCAGCAAATACAGCACCAGCTGCTATGTTTCAATAACTTGATAGTTACTTAAATTTCTACCTACTTGTACCTACTTGTACAGCTAACCAAGAAAAGTCAAATATCAGACCTAACTTGTCTTAAATATAAATGTAAATGGTGCTCAGCTTGACAAAAGTGTCCTCAAATTTTTTAACACGACTTAGGTATTTAATAGGAAGAAATTAATTTTAGATGAGGTAAATGTATTGTGGTTATATATTTTAGTCTTTACCTTTCAAATATATACCAAAAAATTTCAAACCAGAATAGGATTACTTTGAATTTATTTGTCTTGTTTGTTTTGGTTTTTAGAGATGGGGGTCTCTGCTATGCTGCCCAGTTGGTTTTGAACACCTGAGCTAGTGATCCTCCCACCTTAGCCTTCAGAGTAGAGTACTAGAATTGCACACATGCATCACCATGCCTGATTAAGGATTTAACTTGCTTCAAATACCTAAAGTGGGAAGGTAACAAGTATGAGGAGGGTAGTAGTGGTAGGGAAATGTAAGAGTGAGTGTTATACATAAAACAAACGACCATGAGTTATTTATTGTTGACACTAGGTAATGGATATGGGGTTGGGAGAAGATTCAAATATCACTATTACTATTTCCACTTTTGTAATGTACATGAATTTTCCTTAATAAACAAAACTTTTTAATAGCGTTCTCTTCTCTCTATAAAGAAAAATTATCAAACTTTATCAGTCTAAGGCATTTTCTCAAAGTTACATAGGTAAGAAAGGTTGGGACAACACAGGAATTAACTCTTCTTGTTCTGTGCCATTTCAAAGAATTACAAGGTGGTATAGATGGCATATATTTTGTAGTATCATGATTAATACTTTCTAGCCCTACAAATGTATTACACTTCATACTATAAACTATAAGACATACTATACAGAGGCTGACAATTCTCTTGGTCAGTCAGTATTATTGAAGAACAATGGTTAAATTATGAACAAAGGAAATGAATGGGCTCTGTAAAATATGTTAGGAGAAAGTGCTCCCAGCACTGACCTTGCTCTCCCAGCCTCCACCACCCCATCCTTTGTCTCTGTCTACCTACTCCTCCCTGGGCTTACTGGACCCTGCCTCCCATGAAAAACTTGTAACATGGTATCTTAAGACTTAAGTTATTCCAACTAGTTTGCCAGGCTTCTCAGTCTAAAGTAACTTTAAATCAGCTGCTTTACAAAAAGCAATTACAAGTGGCTGCCATGCTCACACCCTAACTCTGCCCCTATAAGGGGAGGAGGGAAAGCAAACAGACATATTCATGCACAGGGATGCTGGCTCCTGGACACAGTAAAAACACCGGGCATAGCTAAGAAAACCCATAGAGAGGACCCAGCACATCCTGGGCCGCCAGCCACACATGGTGATGTCTGCGGACTGCCGCCACTTCCCCTAGATAACACACGCAGAGTACACAGGAAGCGGGGGGGAGGGGCGACAGTCTGCAGGATCAGGCCTAGGCAGACAGGCTCACTTGTCCTGGGTGTGTGTGGAGGGCTTGGTGCCTTGCACAGGCCCTGCTCCTAGCCCCACCTTACACCTGGCACCAGATCAGTCCTTTTAAGCCAATTCTTAACTCAAGGTTATAGTCCCAGAAGTACCACATTACTTTGGTCTCTAAACTTCCCATTTAAAATTTTCTGTACTTTCAGCCTCAACATAAATGTTTCCCTCCAAATAGTAACACTAGTTGTCCCGTATGGTACTGTTATTGGCCTGGGATGACCTCTGAATGCCCTTCTCTAGCTTAACAGCTGATTTATTCCTTTGTTAAAAAGGTAGCCTTTATTAAAGAGGCTGCCTGCTGTTAGCTAAAAGACAGGATCCTAGCATTTTGTTCTTTCTAGATGGGATCTGCACCTTCCAGTCTTCTGGCTTGTAGATGTTAAAAATTTTGTACTGAGGCCTGGCCCTCAGTATGCCTTGGGTGACCAAGAGAAGTGGCCTTCACAGGGTTCCTTAAATTATAATACCATACTCCAATTAGACCATTTCTATAAAAGGGAAAAAAGTAAACTGAGGTCCCCGTACAAATTTTCTTTCATTTCAGATTGGCTCCACAATTACTATTTAGATACTCAAGCGCTGGCCATTCTTTGTAAGCCACAGGATAAGCATCAAAAGGAGGACCAGAAAAGTCCCTTATCAATGACAAGGCCCACTCCTACTGCTCCACCCTCTACCCTACCTTCTAAGCCACCCCAATTTTCTTTTTTTTCTTTTATTATTCATATGTGCATATAAGGCTTGGTTCATTTCTCCCCCCTGCCCCCACCCCCTCCCTTACCACCCACTCCGCCCCCTCCCTCTCCCCCCCCCTCAATACCCAGCAGAAACTATTTTGCCCTTATTTCTAGTTTTGTTGTAGAGAGAGTACAAGCAATAACAGGAAGGGACAAGGGCTTTTGCTGGTTGAGATAAGGATAGCTATACAGGGTATTGACTCACATTGATTTCCTGTGCGTGGGTGTTACCTTCTAGGTTAATTCTTTTTGATCTAACCTTTTCTCTAGTACCTGTTCCCCTTTTCCTATTGGCCTCAGTTGCATTCAAGGTATCTGCTTTAGTTTCTCTGCGTTAAGGGCAACAAATGCTAGCTAATTTTTTAGGTGTCTTACCTATCCTCACCCCTCCCTTGTGTGCTCTCGATTTTATCATGTGCTCATAGTCCAATCCCCTTGTTGTGTTTGCCCTTGATCTAATGTCCACATATGAGGGAGAACACACGATTTTTGGTCTTTTGGGCCAGGCTAACCTCACTCAGAATGATGTTCTCCAATTCCATCCATTTACCATGGCTGCATAAAATTCCACTGTGTATAGATACCACATTTTCTTAATCCATTCACCACCCCAATTTTCAAAACGTTCTAATGGGTGCTTCCCCCTTCAACAGAAAATGGTAAAAAGAGGGCAAATCTTCCGTCCCCTTCCAGCTCTAAGCAAAATTTAAAAACATCTAAACGACTATACTAATGCCCAGACAAATACATCCAAGCCTTTATCTCTGTGATCTAAACCTATCAATTGACATGAAAGGATTTTATGCTTCTATTAGACCAGATTCTTGTCTCATTAGAAAAACAATGGGTTCTGGCCCAGGCCACTCAGGTTGAAAAAGATTATCATTTACAATAAGCCCCATTTCCCATGGCATCTGGAAATGTGGAAATAAATGTGCCTACCTATAGGGGCACAGGCAGTCCCCTTGACAGATCCACACTAAAAGGGGCTGATGATATGGCTCAAGCAGTAGAGTGCCACTTTTCAGGCATAAAGCCCTGAGTTTAAATCCAGTACAGCCAAAAAAAAAAAAAAAACATATCTGGGGCTGAGAAAGTAGCTCAATGAAAAAATGTCTGCCCAGCATGTACAAAGCCCTGGGTTCAATTTCCCAACATTACTAAATCAAAAAAAAAAAATGATGAGGAGGATAAATGGCATTAATGTCACTTCAGCCACCTCATAGTGGAAGAAAGTAGTTTAACCTAGACCAGATCCCTCATTCTTCAAATGAAGAAACTGAGGCCCAAAACAGTTCAGAGACCTGCTCTCCAGAGTGTCAGGTGTCAAGGTAAAATAACAACTTTGCTTTACAGCAACACCCTAAAGAAAATCCCTTTACCTTTCTACAACATCTTAAGGATGCTATCAGAAAGCATAATAGGGTGGACCCAGTGTCACAGGTGAGAGAGGTTCTTCTCAGAGATAAATTTCTAACAGTCAGCCCCTGATATTTGTAGAAAACTCTGTCTGTGGCTGAAGGAGAAAAGTCACTGGATCAACTAACAACTAGCCATGTCTGTATATTATAACCGGGACATTAATAACAGAGAGAAAGATAAGAGACATGACCTCATTGCTGCCCCCACCTGACCTTGGCCTGCATCCTGAACTTGCTACCATGTTGGGCAGGAGGGGCACTTCTGCAGAGGATGCTCCAAAGGGGGGACAGCCCGGGAGACAGCCCCACCCCCAAGCTGGACCCTGCCCTCTCTACGAAGGTAACCACTGGAGGTCTAAGTGTCCCTGTCTCCAGGTGGAAGGTGAGGTGCCACCTCCTATGGATTGATGGGTCCTGGCCCCCTGTCCATGCTCCACTTCTTGGCATGGATGTTGAGGAGCCTTATGGTAGCCATTATGGCAGAAAAACAAAAGATCATTTTCCAGCTAGACAGTGGAGCTCATTTCTCTGTTTTACCTCTCTCTCCAGGTCCCTGGTTCAATGACAAAAGTTATCGTTCAGGGCAAATCTGGCCAGCCCCTAGAGCACTAGTTTACCCGGCCTCCGGCCTGCTCTTGGGGGGACCTCTTCTTCTGTCACTTTCCTCATAATACCTAAAATGCCAATGTCCCTGCTGGAACAAGATTTACTATTTCAACTAAAAACTCAAATTCTCCTCCCCCTCCAGGCAGCTACTTCTGCTGCCCCTCCTTCAGGAACAAATAGATTTCACAATGTGGACTGATGAGACAAGTGTAGGGTGAGACTGGACGGCCCTCTCTATTCAAATAAAACTCAAAAATCCCTCATAATTTCCACACCAAAAACAATACCCCTTCAAGCCCCTCTGTGGAACAATAAGGCTTTATGCCTATCATAAATTCCTTAAAAAAACACGGGCTACTAATTAGTTGCTCCAGCCCATATAATATATTTAAAATTTTTATAAAAGTTAATTTTAAAATACAAGTTACAAAGTAAACAACTGGAAAGGATACAGATAGGTAGTGAATGTATTTTTTGAGACATTAAAGGAAAAAGAAGTATTTTTAGATGAGAAAGGATTTTGTAAAGAAGGGTTTGTCCTAAAGATTGTTTTAAATAGGAGAGATAAAGATAAGACATCAAAGGGTTTCCTATGGTTATATAAAGGTCTGAGTAAGTTTTAAAAGTGTATAATAAAAAAAAGCTTCGATGTGGGATAAAGTTAAAGTTGAATACAGTCTACGAGATGCCTAAAACATTTTTAGGGTCATGTCAAACTAAAATCAAATTTTCTATGTCTATAAAAATAACAAGGTTATCTTAATATTGTTTGGCTCTGAGTAACATCTACAAAAAACCGTTACAGAAAAAGATTTTATCAAAGAAATTATTTGTGTTCTCTGCTGATCTTGTCAAGCTTTAATTACTACTCTATCACAGTTCATTTACATATTTGCTTATGTGTCTTAAATGACCACTTTGTAACAGTGTTATGTTATACTTTATCTAAATATGCTACAAACATTTACAAAGTTAAAAGTGTCAATTTATATAAAAAAATGAGCTAAAGCTCTTTTTTAACATTTAAATCCTGACAGCCCCTGCCTCCTACAGGTCATTTACCTAAGTGTGGCCTTAAAGGAACAGACTCACTCCCAGAGTCATGAGTGCATCAACCCAATCTTCCGTTTCCCTCTCCCCATACCATAAGACAGCTTACAACTTTCTTGGGAGTTACAGGATTTTCCAGAATTTAGATCCCTAGGTATGCAGTCCCTTAGCAGACACCTTTTGATGTTCCTCCTAATATTCCTATTTGGGTCTTAAATAATGTATGGCCACTCATTTCTCTTAGAAAACTTGCCTCCAACAGACTCTGCTCCTCTGGCTGACTATCTGCCTTACCTTAACCTTCTCAGGGAACTTCTCAGAAAGCATACAAACCAAATCCTGCCCCACCCTATAACAATTTCTGTTAAACCAGGAGATCTTGTTCTCCTAAAAGGATCTTCTACCCTCTCCATTGGGACTTCAGTGGATCAGCCCTCATCTGGTCATTCTCATGACATCCACTGCTGTCAAGCTCAATGGGATCCCCTAATGGTGGCACCTCTCAAGGAACAGTTAGAAAAATGGAGAAGAGAATTGGAGGACTCTTGAAATTGTCTAGGGAACAGCATTTCACAGTGGTTCTCCTGGCCAATGCCCATTCTAATGCCTATGTTTCTTGCTCTCCTATTCTTAAGCTTCCTCCCTTGTATCATACTGCATGTCTGCTATTGCTAATCAAAAGTTTAACCAGTTGTACCTCCAGGGATATCATCCTCTCCAAAACCATCCAGAGGACTGCTATGAAGGCCCCCACCAGGACACAGGAGCCTGAGGATCCTGCCCCATACAACGTCCCCCGCTAGCAGGAAGCAGCTAAAGAGAAGGATGCTTCACCCCAATTCTTGATCCTTAGCCCCTACCCTCATCATTAAAGAAAAATGGAAGAATGATGGAACAATAATGTCGCCATTTATAAATCATCGGCCATTTTATCCTCAGACCTCACTTGAGCAACTCCCAAGGACAGCCCCACCCTTAACAGAAATTTCCCCGCTCCCAGACAAGCTCCACCCAAGCTCCATCCCCATCAGGGACCCTTGCGCATGTGCCAACCTCTTCTCTTACCCTCCCTTTTTTATAAAAAGGTGAAAAGTTTGTTTTAAGTAAATGACTTAATACATGATTGTGGTCTGTACACGAAAGCTGCTGTACAATTTTTTTTGAAATATCATCCATCAAACATGTAGTTCACAAAATTTAAAAACTTCCCCCTTCATATATTTTTCAATTTATATACTATACTGTGCATCTAAATAAATATGACACCTAAGAAAGTATTACCCTAATACATGATATAAATTTAAATTAAGAATCTATAGAAGCAAACTTTGTGATATTGTGTATTGTACTTTCAATTCCTGCCAAGTAAATTACTGTTCTTTTAACTTTCACAGGCTCTTTCATGTATGTAGCTTCATCTGGCTCACCTGCAGGGCCAATGCATTCCCTATGCCTGTATTTTGTTCTAGGAAACCTTAATTCCTTGGTACCATAAATATATGTGACATCTTTATCCCCATGTTAAACTCTCAAAGGACAGGAACCCAGCATTTAACATTTGCCTTTCACTAAACACTTGTTAAATCTTGGTGTCTTACTTCCTTTGGAATCAGATCTCTGAAAGACATTCTCCTAGAGAGAAGCCTGAAGAACTATATTCAATATTCAAAGTCACTAATACCTTCTACTACCATAAATTCTTAGATACATGAAAACCTTTTTAAAGGTTTTAATTTAAAACATATACAAGATCCCTGACAAATCTGTCTTTAATTACATGTTTTCCCAATCTTTCTACAATCATTTTATTGACTGCTAGCACTAAAGATACAGCAATCTTTCAAATTTGAAATAAAAAGATGGCAGTTTTTAAGAAATTGAATTTAAGGAAAGTCAGCACTTGATAAACTTGATCCCCATTAATTTTCTTTTTATGATACAGGTTTCCTATTCCTATAGTATTCCTAGTTTCCTATTATCTCATGAGGAGAAAGAAGTTTTTATCAGAACCATTATAAAATTAAGATTATAGAAGACTTGAAGACATTTAGTCTACTGAAGTCTTTTTGTTTGTTCAGTACTAAGGACTGAACCCAGGACCTTGTGCATGCTTAGGCAAGCACTCTATAATTTGAGCCATGCCCCCAACCCTTTGTTTATATTTTATTTTTGAGATAGGGTCTCACTAGCTTTGCTCAAGTTGGCTTGAACTGGTGATCTTCCTGCATCTGCTCTCAAGTAGCTAGAATTATATGTGTGAACCACCACGCCCAGTTCTAAAGTGGGGGCTTAAAGCCCCCACTTTTATGTTCTGTACTTATGAGAGTGAGCAAACAAGAAGTTCCTTTGTCTTTTAAAGAGTTCCTATTACTACTACATATCATCCCAATTTTTAAAGTAAATTGCTAAGTTCTTTCTAACTGGGACATTTGACTCAGTGACAAAATGGTTTTGAAAACAGTGAGGTGTTACATGTAGCCAAAGCCGAGGAGAAACCAGTTTTCCAGGTACCAGTTTCTTTCTTTTTTTTTTTTTTGGACTGAGGTTTGAACTCAGGGCTTCACAATTACAAAGCAGGTACTCTACCACTTGAGCCACACCTCCAATCCATTTTGCTCTGGTTATTTTGGGGATGCAGGTCTCTCAAAGTATTTCCCTGGGCTGGGCTCAAATCAAGATCTTCCACATCTAGACCTCCCAAGTAATTAGGATTACAGGCATGAGCCTAGCTCAGAGAATCTAGTTTCTAAGACATCACTTGAGATCCCATTTTCACTCTGAGCTGCTTTCTTCCCTAAAATCAAGTTCAGAATGAAATTAAAGACTGCTATTGACTATATGCCATACTAAGTCTCTACTGGCTAGCAGGCTTAAGTATATAAACATTCTACTTTTACCAGAGCTACCTGATAAGTTAAACTGAATTGCAATCCCTGCTTGGTTAGGTCCAATCTAATAGCAAAAGCTGTACTTACTGGGCAAACATTTCTAAATTTGAACTTGTTAAATTACAAATCTACCTGATACTTTATACTGGAAAATACTGTCCCAAGATGAAATTTTATACAAAGTTAAAAATTGTGTGAATTCATTTATTTAAAAAATGAAATATTTATTTCCTTTTAGATGTTTAATTCTCAGAAAACTGGCAGCTGCAAAATAAGTTTTGTTATCAGTAATTCCAAAATAACATAAAATCATGGTTATAGTAGAATCTGTACTTATCCAATGTTGTTAATTACAGATTTATACAACAATGCATTATTTTTCCTAAAAAAAGTCACATCTCAAAATATTCTTGGCTTCCTTCCAATAGTAAAATAGAGCTTTCTAGCAATGCATACATTTTTTTAGTTAATAAACAAGCATTCTTAATGGAGAACACTTAAAAGAGTTTAGACCAAGTGAACGTAGCCTTCATTATATTAACAAAGTGTGTTATTGTGTTGCTGATACAAAACTAGTAGGAAGCAAAACAGCCAACAGAACTAAGCAATTTGCTTTCTTAATGTTTTTAGAGCAGGATTAGCACAGGACACTAAAGAAGCTTTGAGAAATGGTAAGTGATAAGCGACATGAGATTTGCTTCTATGAGTGCCAAATTATTGTTGTTTTCCCACAAAGGGAATGCAGAAAGCTGTGGAAGGACTCAAGGACTCACCACACTGCCACTCTGTGTTTTAGGATGTTTGGAGGAATCCAAAGCAAAGATAGTATATTCAGAGAGAAAAGCAGGCTCTGCTATCATCCCGGCTAGTAGCTGTCTCATTCAGTGTAATAAGCAAAGATATAAAAATAAAACAAATGATGAAATGCAAATCACAATAGCATGTTACAAGGTGTTCTCCCTGCATAACACTATAATAGACATCATTATCAGGATCATCATCACTGCTGTCACCGCCACCCCCATCAGAAATAATAAGTTGCTCCAGGAATGGGTGGAGTGGGGATTAAGGAGAATGATGAAGGGGGTGAATTCAACTATCATATTTTATAAGAACTTTTGTAAATGTCTCAATGTACCCCCAAATAAAACAAAAATCTGACTTAAAAAAACAAGTAAGTTGCTGCAAATACATTTAAACTGAACTAGTCAGCTTAAGGTTTTTAAGTACAATTTATAAACAACTTTATAGCAGGCATAAAAATAATGTATGCAACATGCACATATCATGCCTGGCATTTTGATACAAAAATCCATACCAAAATAAAAAATACACAGGAGTTCAAAGTTTCAGAACTGTAACCTGCAGGCAGAGCAGATAAGTTCCTCAGTTCTTCACCACTGGTATAGAACCTAACTATGAGTCAAATTTGGGGGACACCGTAAGGGTTGTACATGTGCTGCTCATGGGGGCACAAATTAGGGACTTATATAGCAAATGGGAACCTTTCTGGTGTACAGACTAAAATGACTGTGTGGTCAGCAGTGGTTTCCAGGACACAAAAGCAGGAAGCTTCTAAAGTCAAAGCAGCACAGAAGTGGACAAGCCCCACACTCAAACCACATATAACACCAATCCATACAGAAGGAAATACAAGAGATTCCAGCTAGTTTTCCTCTATCCTGGTGGTACTAGGGGAGAGGGGTCAGGCCTGTAAAAGGGTAAAAGGTTGGCTACTAAGTTATGGCAAGAAAGTACACTGCACATTACACAGTCCCACCTGAACACTGAGAACACTTCAGGTGTAAGACTACCAATGATTAAAACTTCCAACTACGTGGACTCAAATGTAGTTCAATGGAGAAAAAAAAAAAAAGAAGAAAAAACAAGGCAAAATGACATCTCTGAAGATCAACAACCACACAGTTACAGAAACTACGGATACTGAAGAAGAAAGTCCAAAGAATTCAAAAGCATGATTATAAGAATGATCAATGAAATTAAAGAGCACATGTATAAAAAACATGAATGAATTAAAAGAGAATACAATAAACAGCTAAATGAATGAAGAAAATGAAGGATATGAAAAGGAATTCAATAAAGACACATGGGTGGGGACATGGCTCAAGTGGTGTGAGTACCTATCTAGCAAGCACAAAGTCTTGAATTCTATCCCCAGTACCACCTAAACAAACAACAAGTAAGCAAACATAAAACATGAAAAGAATCAAACTGAAATTCTGGAACTAAAAAGCTCAATAAGTCACATATAAAAATTCAATGGAAAGCCTCTCCAACAGAGTGAACCAAACTGAAGCAGAATATCAGGCCTCAACTGAAGATGAGAGCAGAAGAGAATGCAAAGGGACCAAAATTGCATCACCAGCTGCTAAAACAGTACATACCTCCCACAAACCTTAAAGTCACATGAAGGCTTGGTGAGACAGAGACCAAATGAGACTCAGTGTGGACACAGTAAGCTGGTGGGGATTTAGACTGTTCACAGACACTGATTTGTCTGACTTAACTGATTTACTGAATTCAGGGTGACAGCTGTGTGTCCTGTACAATTGAAGGATCTAAATGGTAAAACTGGGAGTAGAGGACAGCAAAAATCTTAAGCAGAGTGTGTCACTCACACATTCATAGCTGCTACCCACTGGGTGCAAGCCCACTTACTGAGGATAGCCTTGCCCACTCAGATCTCTTGGCAATCAACAACTCTATCTACAAGGCCATTGGGTCCCAAAACAACTCTGCCAGAAAAATGTTTTGTTAACAGAATTCCAGTAATGTGAGTGTGTTACCCACGTGGTCCCAGCTGTCCTCACCCACCCCACTAGGCCACGCGATCCCAGCCTGTACCTGAAATAGGAGATTTCACCTGTTGCAAAACGTGCCCTGTAGATAACAGCCTGGCAGGCAGAAAGCCTCCAGAGGTACAATCCACCCCTACAAAGTTATTCCTATTACAATCACAGCAATAGTGACTACAGAGAACAAGTCAATACACAGAGTCATATAGCACTAATCACAACAGGTACACACACACATAGATCTCTGTGGATCAAAGACTGAAGTGTAATATCACTTGAACAAGAACAGGCAATATGAACAATTCTCTTCAGAAACAAATATAGAGTTTTAAAAAATCATTTTTATTGGAATCTTTTTCAATTTTATAATTCTTTACTCTATTTCCCTAACCATTCCCTATTTCACTATTATACAGTGCTCTCTCTTACAATTATCTCCTAGAACCACTTCTACCTTTCCCTGTCTTCCTAATTCCCTCCTTTCCCCATACCATCCCTTTATTAACCAATTTCCAATTCTTATACAAGTGTTAAGCTTCCAGATCATCCCCTTAGCAACCAGTTTTGCTCCCATACAACCTCACTGAGGAGGCAGATAAAGGTTCCAATTGTCTCTTATTTATTCAAATATTTATTTATTGATGAACTGTTGACCTTGTAACAGCAGCAGGTTCTCCCACATATGCAAGGAAAAGAGAAATTTAGCCTAACAGATGCTTAAATCACAGTGTAGGAATTTAAATATGAAAAACCAAGGCATTATCACACCTCCAAAACCTCACAACAACTCAACAACTGCATCCAAATATAATGACTTGGCTGAAATGTCAGATGGGATATTCAGAAGCCTACTGTTTAAAAGGATCAATGACTTCAAAGACAATTCAAATAAAAAGATAAACAAGGGCTGGTGGAGTGGCTCAAGTGGTATTGAGCCTGGCAAGTGAGTATGGGGCCATGAGTTCAAATTCCAGTGCCACCAAAAAAAAAAAAAGATAAAAGTTGCTAAACAAATTCAAGACCTATACAAAAAAGTTAGCAACATGGATGAGAAATTAAGCAAATAATAAAACGGAAATTATTTTAAAAACCCAGCAGAAATGTTAAAAATAAAACCTCAATAACTCAAATAAAAACACAGTGGATACTATAATCAGCAGACAAGATCAAGAAGAAGAATATCAGAGATGAAAGACAAGACTGAGCAGCTACTGCACAGAGACAAAAATAAAGGGGAAAAAAGGAATATCTATGATTACAACATGTAACAACTTACGGATACAATCAAAATACCAAACCTAAAAATACATGGGGCAGAAGAATGACATGCAATACAAACTAAAGGCATAGGAAATCTATTCAATTAAATCATAGCAGAAAATTTCCCAAAGCTAGGTAACAATATACATAACCATGCCATTTCAACCCCAAATAGACATGACCAGAAAAGTACAACTTCATATCATATCATAATTAAAAACAAGACTAGAGAACAAACAAAAGATATTGAAAGCTGCAAGACAAAAATGCCATTTACATACAAAGGAAAATATATAAGAATCACCTCAGAGTTCTCAGCACAAACCCTAAAAGCCAGGAAAGCATGGAGCAATATAATTCAACTCTGAGAGAAAGCCAACCAAGAATACTATATCCAGCAAAGCTAGCCTTCAATTTCAGTGGAGAAATAAAAACATTCTAGGATAAAGATAAGCTAAAGCAGTTCATCTCCACTAAGCATGTACTGCAAAAGATACTTAAAGAATATTTTACACAGAAGAGGAAGAAAAACAGACACAAATAAAAGAGGTCAGGAAAGAATAAAATTCAAGAGGAGTTGATGAACCAGTGAGAATGAGGAAAGTATCAAGCATGTTCAACTCAGTAAATCAGCAAACCCCAAAGACGAACAATGTCAAAAAAAGAACAAACAACACTAGACCCAATCTGGAAAAAAAATAAATAAAAAACAACAGAAGTGCAGGAATCAATAATATCGCTTAATCATAACCCTAAATGGAACAGACTTATCACTTCAATTAAAAGACACAGACTGTTTCGATAAAAAAAATCAGGATTCAACAATCTGTTATTTGCAAGGGATACATGTCATAATAAAAGACACACAACTAAAAGTGAAAGAATGGAAAAAGAAAACACCAAGTATGTAAAAGTTGAAGGAAAGCAGGAGTAGATATTCTCCTATCACACAAAGCAGATCTTAAGGAAAAATCAGCCTGAAAAGATAAAGAAGATAATTTTATATACTAATAAAGGGAACAATCCAGCAAGAATATATAGTGATCCTAAATATACATGAACTAAATATTGGTGCACCCAACTTCATAATAATAGCTGGAGACCTACCTCACATTCCTCAAGACAGAACATCCAGACAAAAATATTCTAGAACTAAACAATATCTTGGAGAAAATGGACTTAGCAGACATCTATAGGGCATTCCATCCTACAGAAGCAGATTATACATTTTTCTCTGCTGAAAAGACCCACAGAGCTTTCTCCAAATTAGATCACATTATGGGCCATAAAGCAAATCTGAACTAATGCAGAAGAATGTAAATAATCCCATTACTAATGGCAAGGAAAACTACAAAAGTCATTCAAACTCATGGAGACTGAAGAACACACTTTTGAAGAAATTACAAATGAAATTAAGAAATTCCTAGATTCATATGAAAATACAACTTATTAGAACCTCTGGGACACAGCAAACGTAATCTTAAGAGGGATGTTTATAACCATGAGGACTCTCACACTTTTACAAAAACAATACAATACCAAAAATAGTAGATGGAAATAAATTACAAAACATAGGCCAGAAATTAATGGAGACCAAAAGAAGGATACAACAAATTAATGAAACAAAAAGGTTTTTTTTTAAAAAGATAAAGCTTTAGCCAAACTAACCAAAAGAAGAAAAAATACCCAAGTAATAAAATCAAGATGGAATTTTTATGTATGTTACAACAGAAACCAATGAAAATCAGAATATCATACAGAAGTTTTTGAAAACCTATATTCCACCAAACTGGAAA